CAATAATAAGATAATTTGGTAAGCTATGCAAACACATGGGCATGAAATACCCTACCCCCGAGCCACACGCGGGTCCGGGAGAGAAGGAGAAGGAAGCCACACAGCTTCAGCAGCCAATGAAGACCGAGACACAAGGCAGCACAGCCTGCAGGACACAGCAGAAGCCCTGTGGAGCGGCCTGTGGAGATCAACGCTCACATAAAAATGCAGAAAGATACCAAACCGTCTGCTGTCGCACTGCAAGGGGCTAGAGACAGGAACAGACGGAACCCAAAATTCACAGAAGGAACGAAATAGCCAAGAGATTAAAAACCCAAAATCTCAATGAAGAGTCAGCTTACAAAAAAAGATGACATTGCCCAAGTGGGCACTGAAGACACAGATTCACAGCTGACACCGCAGGAACACAAGGATCACTAGAGATTTGCGTGGACAGACATACACACACAACGTGATCACCCAGAGGAATGGACAGATCCCCGAGACGGCTACCTTCTAAGACCGGATCATGAGGGTCTAGAAACTGAACAGAGCTGTGAGGATCCGTGAACTTGGGTCAGGAATAGAATGTCTCCACCAGAGAAAAGCCCAGGACCAGACAGCTTCCCTGCTGGGTTCTGCCAAGTAGTCAAAACCTAGTACCAGTCCTCAGTAACCACCACCAAACATGGGAGCAGAGGGAATCCTTCCAGATGCATTCCATTTGTCGGCAATACCTTGCTACCAGAGCCAGACAGGATGGAAAAAACAAAGTCACAGGTCAATATAGCCGATGAACTTAGACGCAAAAATCATGAAGAAAACACTAGAAAACCATATCTAACAACATAGTATAAGGTTTATTCAGCATACTCAGGGATACAAAATGATTCAACACACATAAGTCAATAAATGTGATTCCGCACATCAATCGAACTCAGGATGAAAACCATATGATCTGAAAAAATTCAACATTCCCCCTGATAAAACTCTGGCCAGTTTCAGCCTAGAAGGAACGTGTCTCAATTTATAAAGGCCATATGGATATAGAAGAAGTCAACGGCTAACACCCCAGTGAATTGGGAAAAGCTAGACAATTTGTTCTTTTTTTTTTGTTTTTAAAGATTTATTTATTTATTTGAAAGTCAGAGTTACACAGAGAGAGGAGAGGCAGAGAGAGAGAGAGAGAGAGGTCTTCCATCCAATGGTTCACTCCCCAGTTGGCCGCAACGGCCAGAACTGCACCAGTCTGAAGCCAGGAGCCAAGAGCTTCTTCCTGGTCTCCCCCATGGGTGCAGGGGCCCAAGGACTTGGGCCATCTTCTATTGCTTTCCCAGGCCATAGCAGAGAGCTGGATCGGAAGAGGAGCATCTGGGTCTTGAACCGGCACTCATATGGGATGCCGGCGCTTCAGGCTAGGGCGTTAACCCACTATGCCACAGCGCCGGCCCCGAAGATTTGTTCTAAGATGTGGAACAAGACAAGGAGGCTCACTCTCCATCCTTTCGATCAACGTGGTACTGAAAGTCCTCACCCGAGCAATGCGGCCAAAGAAAGAGAAGAAGTCAAACTGTCCTTGTTTGCACTAGCATGGTTTCTTTTATATAAAAAACCCGACAGACGCCACCAAAGTTTGACTGAGAGAACTGAGCCAAGTTGCAGGGTGTAAAATCCATATACAAAGGCAGGAGAGAACACGTGGTAGTCAGGGAACCCTGCCCATTGTTAGTGGGGATACGAATCAGCAGTCATTGTGGAAAGCAATAGAAACGTTCCTCAGAAAATGAAAACCAGTGGCCGGCACCGTGGCTCAACAGGCTAATCCTCCGCCTAGTGGTGCCAGCACCCCGGGTTCTAGTCCCAGTCAGGGCGCCGGATTCTGTCCTGGTTGCCCCTCTTCCAGGCCAGCTCTCTGCTGTGGCCCGGGAGTGCAGTGGAGGATGGCCCAAGTGCTTGGGCCCTGCACCCCATGGGAGACCAGGAGAAGCACCTGGCTCCTGCCTTCGGATCAGCGCAGTGTGCTGGCCACAGCACGCCGGCCGTGGCGGCCATTGGAAGGTGAGCCAACGGCAAAGGAAGACCTTTCTCTCTGTCTCTCTCTCTCTCACTGTCCACTCTGCCTGTCAAAAACACACACACACACACAAAACACACACACACACACACACAAAGAAAATGAAAACCAGAACCGTTGTATGATCCCGCAATGCTACTGCTGGTCACACAGCTGAAGGAAATGAAATCAGTCTACACTCCCAGGTGTATCTCTCCTCTTTTAACAACATCCAGGACATGGAAAAACCTAAGCGTCCACCAACCAAGGACTGGATGCAACCTGGCCTGGATACACAATGAGATATTATGTAACCATAAAAACACAAAACCCTGCACCTGCAAGGTGGATGGACGTGTAGATCTTGACACCAACTGAAATAAGCCAGGCACAGAAAAACAAATTCTGTCTGTTTGATGCATATGTGGCATCTAAAAGTGTTGATCTCAGAGAAGCTGACAGCAGGATGAGATTTACCTGAAGCTGGGGAGAGTTGGGGAAGGGAGGGATGGGAAGAGTTTTGCCAATGAAAGAAAGAAGAAGTATTGTGTTTGCTTGCATGGGGGCGGGGCGACCGTAGTGACAATGCACCATATACTCTTTTTTTTTTTTTTGACAGGCAGAGTTAGACAGTGAGAGAGAGAGAGAGAGAGAGAGAGAGACAGAGAGAAAGGTGTTCCTTACGTTGGTTCACTCCCCAAATGGCTGCTACGGCTGGCGCACCAGGAACCAGGTGCTTCCTCCTGGTCTCCCATGTGGGTGCAGGGCTCAAGCACTTGGGCCATCCTCCACTGTCCTCCCGGGCCACAGCAGAGAGCTGGACTGGAAGAGGGGCAACCAGGACAGAATCCGGTGCCCAGACTGGGACTAGAACCCGGGGTGCCGGCACCGCAGGTGGAGGATTAGCCAAGTGAGCCGCAGCGCTGGCCAACACCATATACTCTTAAATGTCCAGAGGAAAGGATTTAGAGTGTTTCTTCACAAAAATGAGGAACGTTTAAGATCAGCACGCTTAAGCTGACTGAACATGTCACACTGTATACAGGTATTGAACTATTACACAGTACACCACAAGTATGCACAGGTGTATGTGCCAATAAAAATAAAGCAAAAAAAAATTTACAGGAATTCCAAATTCCAAAGCATGCAAAGAGGGTCCCTCCTGAGGAATTCCTATTGGTTATATTTTAGTTCATTCTCTTTAGTTCATTCACTCTCATTTTTTTAAAAAGAAAGCATCTGTTTATTCACTTGTTTGAAAGCACAAGGGAAAGGTGGGTCATGGAGGCGGGGGCGGGGGGAGCGAATCTTCCATCCACTGGTTCACTCCCCAGGTGGCTGCAACAGCCAAGGCAGGGCCAGCCCAGAGCCAGGAGCCAGGGGCTCCTCCTCTCCCTCGTGAGTGGCAGAGCCCCAGCGTGGGCCACCTCCGGCTGCCTTCGGAGGGCCTTCAGCGGGAGCCTGATCTCCCGCAAAGCAGCCAGGACTCAAGGCGGTGGCCTGAGATGGGATGCCGGTGTTGCCAGCAGAGCCGGGCCCACAGGGCCACAAGGCCAGCCCCGTAGATTGTTGAAAACTCTAAGTTTGTGCAGAGGTCAATGTTTCTAGAACTCGAGGACGGCAACTGATGGGTCACGGAGCGCTAGCAAAGCTCAGAGTGCGCAGTGATGCTTGCGACTCAGGGAACCACGCGAGCCTGGGCTTCGCCCTGTTACTGAAACATGGCCGGTTCTTCACTGTTCTTCTTTTCGGATTCAAGGACGCTTCTTTCTGAAGCTACATACAACTTGCAGCAATTGTGCAAAATATACTTTAGAAGCGTTTACGGTCTTCTCTTGGCTTGATTCCTCCAAAATACTAAAGTGAAGAGATACCAAATACAGAATACTAAAATGGCTATGCGGCTATTTGCCCAAGTTCAGTAAGAACTCTGAACGCACAGTGGAAGCGTCTGTGTATTTGGAAACACGAACGGAACAAGTGGATTCCACGCGGGAAATGATACCGGCGCCACCCCGGCCCGGGGACCTCAAGGTGTTGCCTTAACTGCTTTTCTAGCCTCTAGAAGTTTCTAAATGTGACGTCACCACACGGCCCATCACTTTCTTACTGCACTGAAGACAATGATCCCGGCGAACTGGAAACCCAAACGCAGTCTGCAAGCACATCTGTTTCCGGAGTAGCTACAGAGAGAAAAACACTCCTAAAGAAAACGCGTCCTGCTCTCACGCGTGGAGTTTCACGACAGCCCACGTTCCGGTGACGTCACTAACACCCGGCGGCCCCCGCGACCGGAACTGGCGCTGACTCGAGATGGCGGCCGGGCGCGCGGGGCTGGCCTGGTCCACGGAGGTGCCCCGAGGCCGTCCCGACGAGCACCGAGGGCAGCGCGGGGCGCAGCAGAGCGGCTCAGACCGGGCCTCCGTGAGTCGGGCGCCTGGGCTGCGGAGGGGGAACCCGCAGGGCTCCGACGGGAGCGGCCCGCCGCGGCCCTGCCCGCCGCCCTCCGGGGCCCTGCCCGCCCGCGGCCCTGCCCGCCGCGGCCTGGTCCTGCCCGCCGCCCTCCGGGGCCCTGCCCGCCCGCCGCCCTCGGGGCCCTGCCCGCCCGCGGCCCTGCCCGCCGCCCTCCGGGGCCCTGCCCGCCGCCCTCCGGGGCCCTGCCCGCCGCCCTCCGGGGCCCTGCCCGCCCGCCGCCCTCGGGGCCCTGCCCGCCCGCCGCCCTGCCCGCCGCCCTCCGGGGCCCTGCCCGCCGCCCTCGGGGCCCTGCCCGCCGCCCGCCGCGGCCCTGCCCGCCGCCCTCCGCGGCCCTGCCCGCCGCCCTCCGGGGCCCTGCCCGCCCGCCGCCCTCGGGGCCCTGCCCGCCGCCCGCCGCGGCCCTGCCCGCCGCGGCCTGGCCCTGCCCGCCGCCCTCCGGGGCCCTGCCCGCCGCGGCCTGGCCCTGCCCGCCGCCCTCCGGGGCCCTGCCCGCCCGCCGCCCTGCCCGCCGCCCTCCGGGGCCCCAGACTTCCAGCTGAGCCCTGCTGGCAGCTGCAGCCCTGGGCCGAGGGGCCGTGGGGCGGGGCGGCTGTGTTCCCGTGCACCTGCACACGCCGGGAGGAGCACGCGTGGCTCTGGGCCGCACACACAGGGCCCGGCTGCAAGTCTGCTGGCCGCGCGAGCTCCTGCTGAGCCGTGAACCAGCTGGTTCACCTTGGCACAGGGACAAGGTGGGAGTCTGACCGCGGCAGTCCCTCCCCACGCCCCACGCCCCATCTCGGGCCGCTCGGGACTCCCGCCCTACTCGGATCTCCCCAGGCCCACCCCGTGCATGCGCAGGTACAAGCCCCAGGCACCTCACCTGGCCTAGTCACACCTCACCGCCAGGCTCTGCCCTGAGCTAGCACAGGACAGTCCTACAGCTGGCTGGGATCGCTGGCCTAGAGAATCCACGCTAGCCCAGCCCAGCCCAGGGCTTAGGGCTCCAAGCGCCAGCCCCTCCCACAGAAGCCGCCAGAGTTTGGGACTGCTGCTCACCAGCGTTCAAGCTCCAGGCAGCGGCGGCAGACCCAGGCCAGTAACCAGCACTCAGGGATGGTGCTCCCACTGGTGCAGAGTCCCTGCCGCAGGTCCCGCCCACATGTCGGGCTGCTCGTGGATGGCAGACATAGGTCCTGCCTCTTCCAGCCTGCATGATCTGGATCTGGGCAGCAGGGGCAGACAGCCTCTCAATCCACTCGGCCCCGGAGCCAACTCTGACTTCACAGCCCCCGTGCCCGGCGTGGATACTGGCCAGGACTCTGGGTGCCAGGCACGCCTGGCTCCCCATACCCGAGGAGGCTGCTGGATGCCTGCATAGCTGGACTCAGGGGCCACACTGAGCCGCAGGAACAGCCCAGGTCCCTGCTACTGCACAGAAGGCACTGGAGACTGTGCAACAACTCCACGTGGGACTAAGGATAAAGCAGTCTACCATAGCCATACCCGGGGCTCCTCTGCTGTAACCACGGAGTCTACCACAGCCATACCCGGGCTCCTCTCCTGTAACCACGGAGTCTACCACAGCCATACCCGGGCTCCTCTCCTGTAACCATGGAGTCTACCACAGCCATACCCGGGGCTCCTCTGCTGTAACCACGGAGTCTACCACAGCCATACCCGGGCTCCTCTGCTGTAACCACGGAGTCTACCACAGCCATACCCGGGCTCCTCTCCTGTAACCACGGAGTCTACCACAGCCATACCCGGGCTCCTCTCCTGTAACCACGGAGTCTACCACAGCCATACCCGGGGCTCCTCTGCTGTAACCACGGAGTCTACCACAGCCATACCCGGGCTCCTCTGCTGTAACCACGGAGTCTACCACAGCCATACCCGGGCTCCTCTCCTGTAACCACGGAGTCTACCACAGCCATACCCGGGGCTCCTCTGCTGTAACCACGGAGTCTACCACAGCCATACCCGGGCTCCTCTGCTGTAACCACGGAGTCTACCACAGCCATACCCGGGCTCCTCTCCTGTAACCACGGAGTCTACCACAGCCATACCCGGGCTCCTCTCCTGTAACCACAGAGTCTACCACAGCCATACCCGGGCTCCTCTCCTGTAACCACGGAGTCTACCACAGCCATACCCGGGCTCCTCTCCTGTAACCACGGAGTCTACCACAGCCATACCCGGGCTCCTCTCCTGTAACCACGGAGTCTACCACAGCCATACCCGGGGCTCCTCTCCTGTAACCACGGAGTCTACCACAGCCATACCCAGGGCTCCTCTCCTGTAACCATGGAGTCTACCACAGCCATACCCGGGCTCCTCTCCTGTAACCATGGAGTCTACCACAGCCATACCCGGGCTCCTCTCCTGTAACCACGGAGTCTACCACAGCTATACCCGGGCTCCTCTCCTGTAACCATGGAGTCTACCACAGCCATACCCAGGGCTCCTCTCCTGTAACCACGGAGTCTACCACAGCCATACCCGGGCTCCTCTGCTGTAACCACGGAGTCTACCACAGCCATACCCGGGCTCCTCTGCTGTAACCACGGAGTCTACCACAGCCATACCCGGGCTCCTCTGCTGTAACCACGGAGGCCAGAGACAAGGTGCCCCCAGACATACAAAAGTCAGCACAGAAGCACAACAAATACAAGCAAGGGAGTTAGTGACTCCTTCAAAGGAACAAACAGTGTGTTGCGATTGGACTGTGAAGAAAGGGAGATGGGTGAAATCGGACAAGAAATCCCAAGGAATGATTGCCAGGTTATGGGAAAATACAAGGAAGCAATTAAATGAAATTAGGGCATCTGTACATGACATGGATGAGAAACTCAGTGAACAGAGACAGTAAAAGAGAACCAAGCAGAAATATTAGACATGAAATCAATCAAAAGTTAAGAAATAAACAAACTAGAGATTTTAAAACTATACAAAAGTGAAATAAAGAGCTGATTTTTTTATTTTTAAAGATTTTATATATTTTATTTGAGTGGTAGAGTTACAGAGAGAGGCAGAGAGAGAGAGAAAGAAGTCTTCCATCAACTGGTTCACTCCCCAAATGGCCACAATGGCTGGAGCTGGGCCAGGCAGAAACCAGGAGTCAGGAGCTTCCTCCAGGTCTCTCACACAGGTGCAGGGGCCCAAGTACTTGTACCATCTTCTATGGCTTTCCCAGGCTCATTAACAGAGAGCTGGATCGGGTGAGTCCCCAGAAGCACAGGCACTCAAAGCAAAAATGGACAGATGGGATTACATCAAGCCATGAAGCTTCTGCACTTCAAAGAAAGCAATTAACAAGGTGGAGTGGCACCTGATGGAAAGGGAGGAAGTTCTCATGTGAATTTTGGCTGACTGCCTATCACATTTGTGGGCACAGTGTTTTTTTTTTTTTATTATAATCTATCCTGATAAAGGATAAGTACCCAGAAGGTATAAGGAGCTTAAGAAACTCCACAACAACAAAACAAACGCTCCAGTTAAGAAATGAGCAAGGATGCAAACAGGCATTTTTCAAAGGATGAAATACAAATGGACAACAGACACATGGAAGGATGCTTAGGATCATTAGCTATCTGGGAAATGCAAATAAAAAGCAGAATGGCTGTTATCCAAAAAAATAAAAAAGAAAAAACCCAAACCAAATGCTGGTGAAATTGTGGAATAAGGGCACCCTAATGCACTGCTGGTGGGAATGCATACTGGTACAACCATTATGGAAAACACTGTGGGGATTCTTCAGAAAACTAAAAAGAGATCTACTGTGTGCTGGGAATATATCCAAAAGAAGTGAAATCAGCATATGAAAGAGTCACCTGCCCTCCCATGTTTAGAGCAGCTCAATCACAATAGCAAAGACAGAATCAATACAGATCTCCATCAGCTGATGATTGGACAAGGAAAATGTGGTAAACATATCTACACGGTGGAATATCACTCAACCACTACAAAAGTGAAATATAGACGTCTGGAACAAAGGGAAGGACCTGGAGATCATTATGCTGAGTAAGATATGCCAGGCTCGGAAGACAGATGTCACATGTTTTCCCTTATTTGTGGAAGGTACTATAGAGTATAAAATCATGTGCTTATCATGTCATTTGGTACATGGTGATAAATGCTGCTTTACTGCATCGTAACATATAAATATTGTTGTACCTTTCTTTCCCTGCATTATAATGATTGTTTGTTGGGAGCATCTGGGAGCAACTCGGACTAGACTAAGTTACTGGAATTAAGACTTATTCTAGGCATCTGCTCTCCCACAATATGGCGCTGAGAAGGGAGAAACAGCTTCTACACAGCTGCCTCCAGTTCAACCAATAAACTGTAGGACCTGCTCCTGATTGGAGGAGAGCAGCGTACTCGGCGTGTGGGTAGCAGAGTTGGGATTGGTGGAAGAGGACTATAAAGGAGGAGAGAGACAACATGCACCAGGAACATCTAAGGGGAACATCTATCTGAAGGAACACCTGAGCAGCCCCCGAGAGAGCCGGCCGGTGGTGTGCCGCTCCCCCGCGGAAGTGGGGAAGGTGGCAGGGGGAACCGCCCTTCCACGGAGGTGGAAGGGTCGGTAGCCAACCCGGGAAGAACCAGCAGCAAACCCGGGGAGGGCTGAGCAGACAAAAGAACAGCGCAGGGTCTTGTGTCGTTCCTCCGTGAAGAGGGGGAGCGACATAATGGTGCCGTGACTCGGATATGAAGCCTAGGCAGGGTTTAGTGTCGTTCCTCCATGAAGAGGGGGAGCGACAATTGTTACTAACCCCTCACTTTGTGACATTAATATCTGTTTTCAAGAAAAATAATATGTATGAAAAAAAGAATTGGAAATACTCTTTGACACAGCTTACAGAGTCAGCTGGCACTGGACAGCTTGATTTGAATTTCTGGGGATAAGGTCCTGTGTGATGTTTGGGCAGCACAGTAAGTGCCCACACCACCGGGTGCTGTATCCCTAGATGTTCTCCCTGCCGTTGGGGTGAGGGGTTGACAGCCTGCTGCATGGGCAGCTTTCCTGAGACTCTCTTGCCCTCCTTGGTTCTCCCTGTGTGTACCTGCACCTCTCACCTGATGCGCGTGGTGAACATTTCACAGTCCAGAACTATAGCAGGTAACTTGATGGAGCATGGCCTAAGAAATTTAGTGGGGCTGGCGCTGTGGTGTACTTGGTAAAGCTGCTGCCCGCAGTGCTGGCATCCCATATGGGTGCCAGTTCAAGTCCTACTTGCACCACTTCCAGTCCAGCTCTCAGCTCTCTGCTATGGCCTGGGAAACCAGTGGAAGATGGCCTAAGTCCTTGGGCCTCAGCACCCATGTGGGAGACCCGGAAGAAGCTCCTGGCTTTGGATTGGCCCAGCTCCAACTGGTGTGGCGTTTTAAGGAGTGAACCAGTGGATGGAAGACCTCTTTCTCTGTGTACCTCTCCTCTCTTTGTGTAACTCTGACTTTCAAATAAATAAATAAATAAATTTTTTTTTTAAAAAAGGAAATTTGGTGGGAGAATTTAGCAACATTCCTAACATAACTTTGTGTTCAAATTTTACTAAGTTCCTTTTTTTTGGAAAAAAAAAAGAATAGAGTTAGCACTCTTTCTCTTAATTCAAGCTCTTGATGGGATACTAAATGATGAAATTGCTCTAGATTATTTATGGAACAAACCACATCTGTGCTGGTGCTAATATTATATTGTTAGTGTTATCCCTGGACACTCCCCAGGGGGCAGTTGTCAATGGTGTGAAAGAAGAGAACAGGGCAATGACTGCAGCAGGTCTTAGCCATCCATGTGGACGCATCTTCATATCCCAGCGACACTGGATTATAACAAAGGAACACAGCAAAGAAGGCCTGCCACGAATGTGGGTGAAATGGTCCAGTCAGCCAAAGCTCACAGGAGAAGAAATACTCTATCTGAGCAGGCCGATATCTATTAAAGAAACTGAATCAAAAATTAATAACATGAACAGAAAGCAGCAGGTCCACATGAGGCAAGCTGTGAATTCTACTGAGTGTCTATAGCAGAGATGATATGAATTCTCCACAATGTCTTCCAGAAGATGGAAGTGGAGAAAATACTTCTTAGCCAATCCAGTGAGGCCAGTATACCCCCATGCCAAAACAAGAGAAAGAAGGTACAAGGAGGGGCTGGTGCTGTGCCATAGCAGGTAAAGCCACTGGCTGCAGTGCTGGCATCCCATGTGGGTTATGGTTCGAGTCTCTGCTGCTCCACTTCTGATCCAGCTCTCTGCTATGGCCTGGGAAAGCAGTAGAAGAAGGCCCAATTCCATGGGCTCCTGGATCCACATGGGAGACCCAGAAAAAGCTCCTGGCTCCTGATTTCAGATCAGCCCAGTTCCAGCTGTTATGACCATTTGGGGAGTGAACCAGTGGATGGAAGATCCATCGATCTCTGTCCCCCTCCCTTTGTAACTCTTTCAAATAAATAAATAAATAAATAAATAAATAAATAAATAAATCTTAGAAGGTACAGGAAAAGAAAACTGCAGACCAGTTTCTCTCACAAAGATGCAGAAACTCTCAACAAGATGCTGACAAATTGACCCCAACAGAATGATACGTCATGACCCAGTAGGATTCATCCAGGATGTGAGAATTTGGTTCACTACTTGAAAATCAATTCATATAGCCCACAAAAGCTGTAAAACAAAAGTAAAAATCACATGATCATGTCATTAGATGCAAAGAGGTATTTGATAAAATCCAGTACTCATGAATGATAATAATCCTCAGAAAACTAAAAATTCAGGAATTAACTTGATGAAGAACATCTATAAAACCCTAGGGCTGACACTCACTTAATAGTGAGGAACTGGATGCTTTCCAGTTAAGAACAGAGCAGAAGGAGGCCTCATCCGACCCCTGTTTTCAACATTGTTCTGTAAATCCTAGCTAATGCAATAAGAAAAAAAATGAAATGAAACAAAACATAATTTTGTAGGCAAGAAATACAAATTTCCTAAAGGTGATGGGATTGTTTGTGTAGAAGATCTGAAAGAAACCACAAATCTACCAAAAGTAAGAAGTAACTATAGAAAGGTCATAAGATAGAAGGTTAATATCAGAAAGTCAACTTTTATTCTACATATTAGCAATGAACAAGTGGAACCTGAAATTAGAACCACAACACCATATACTCTATATCCACAAAATGAAATGCTTAAGTATACATCTAACAAAATACATTTAGGATATATATGAGGAAGACTACAAAACTCTCATGAAAGAATCAAGGAAGATCTAAGTCATGGAAAGATATTCCCTGCTCATCGAGGAGAAGACCCATTATTGCCCAAGGTTTCAGTTCATCTCAACTTGACCTATAGATTTGAAGGAAATTATTTTCTGAATATCACCAACCTGATTCTAAGGAAAAAAACCCAAGAGGAATTAAGCCAGTATCCAAAAAGAACAGAGGAAGACAACTGAAACCTTCCAGCTTTCTACAAAGCCGTAGTAACCAGGACAGTGTGAATAGACTAAGAGATCAAAGGGACAGAACAGAGCTCGCAAAAGACTCACAGGTACAATCAGCTGCTTTTGAAAAGGTAGCAGAGGCAATATAAGGGAGAAAAGAATCTTCAAGAAATGCTGCCAAAACAACAAGACATCCTCATGCAAAACAAAAACAAAACAAAAAAGAAAAAACAACACAAAAATCAAACACATCCATCACAAAACATAAGGAAATCTATATTATAGACCTAAAGATACATTGTAAAACTACAAAACTCTTAGAAGATAAATAAGGGAGAATGTACATGATTTTGGGTTTGGTGATGACTTTTTAGGTTCAACAACAAAGACTTGGAATGTGAAAGATACAGGATATGCTGCCTTTATGAATATTGAAAATCTTTCACTCTGTCAAAGACTTTGTCAAGAGAAACAGAAGGTAAGTCATCAACCAAGAGAAAATATTTACAAAAGTTGTATCTGATGGACTGTTACACACCAAAATATATAAAGAACCCCCATTAACTTAGCAAGAGCAAAGTGAACATCCACCATACAAGCACATGGAATGAGGTTCAACACCATGTATCACGAGTTCACTATGAATTAGCAGGACAGCAAGCTGCAGTTACACACCCATGAGAAAGGAAAAAAGACAAAACGCTGGCTACACCCAGTGCTGGTACAGACCTGGAGTGACAGAAACACTCGTCCACTGCTGGTGGGAATGCGAAGGGCTACACCACTTAGGAAGACAAAAGTAACCACTGTCTTATAAATCCAACAGTCATGCTACTGGTCTTGATGCAAATTAATGGAACACTAATATTCACAAAACCACCTGTTAGCATCTTCATTAAGAGTTTCCCAAACTTGGAAGAAACCAAAGACTCTTCAGTAGGTGGATGGATGAATAAACTGTAATATATCCAGAGAATAGAATCTTACTCTGTCCTAAAAGCAATGATACCTCCACCCATGAAGATCTAGAGGACACTTAAATTCAGGTGAGGAAGGGAAAGAAGCCAGTCTACAAAGTCTACAGACTGCATGATTTCAATTCTAGAACATTCTGGAGAAGGTGAAAGTGTGTGAGAACTGGCTCCAGGTCTGTGTGAGGAATTAATCAGGACCCAGGGGAGATTTTAGCAGTGGAATGGTTCTCTGTGGTCCTACAGTGATGGACACTGGCCATGCAGCATTTGTCAAACCACAGAAGGGACGACGTCAAGAGGAAACCCTAGGTAAACCAAGGACATTGGTGATGATTACATGTCAATCTAGACTCATGACTGTCACAGATGTGCCACTGTCATGCAGGGTGTCAATAGTGGAGGGTTGAGTGGGACATGTGTGGGGCAGGAATACAGGGAAATTCTCTACTCTGCTCAGTTTTCAGCAAGCCAAAAATGTAGAAATCGTCTAGAAGTCAGCTTGCCCAACATGGGGGCTTACAGTGCCAGGACTCCTGGCTCCAGAACCTGGACTGGACTTGCACTTGAACCCCTTACAGGCTTGTATGTTCCATTAGTTAATAGCCCCCTGGACACAGACATCTTGTATAATTCCTGCAATGGCCTTCCCAAGTCCTCGCATGTACACTGGTCAAGGAGTGCGCTGAATACTTGCTGAATGAATGAATGGCTACTGAGCAGTGAGTTCTCCCTCTTCCTGTCTCACTTTAGAAACTCCTGTGTCTGGGCCTGGTGTTTTGTTCTTGCTGGGGATAAAGAAGCAGGTCTTAGCCTTTGAGAAGCTTTGTGAGAGGTTTTAGGAGAGGAAGGCAAAGAGCAGAGTGCAGTGTAACAGACAGTGATTAGACCAATGCCCAACACCTTGAAGATCCAGTCCACAACCAAAGTCACTTCCAGAAGCAGGAAATGGAGGAGGAAGTCACAGCACAGGTTATAACAGTAGTGGAGAAGAGGTCAGTGGAATGCCATGAATATTAATCCTGTTTTCCCTGTATTAATAAACATTTCCTTCATTCACAATTGAAGGATTTGAGATTTTTAAAGGGAGAATGACAAGGACAGTGATCATTTCTTAGATTTATCTTCATCAAAGTCTGTGAACTATAAATAAAGTCTATCAAAAGCCTGCAAGGTCCCCTCTCATCTCATGATAAGATAAGGGCTTCATCCATCTTCATCCTCTCCCCCATGGGGAGGAACTAGGGGCCCCAACCTCTGCCCTGCAGGTGGTCAGCCCCCTCTCTGGACCCCATGGCTGACCTTTCCCCCCATCCCTACAGCATCTTTGCAGATATGGGGTAGGACGCCCAATCAATTCTGTCTCCAGCTGAGCTTGGGAACCCACAGCCCTGATGACTTCATGAGTTTTCTGCTTGGATTCAGGGACAGTGTCTCCCATGACGTGATCAGTCCCCAAGTGCAGGATCACAGGTGACATAAAAGGACTGGGGCGGAACCAGGCTCGGGGAGCCTCAGGATGACATTCAGGGCAAGGACAGCTGTGTGGACGGCAGGGCCTTGGCTGTCTCTGCGAGACACCAGGACGCTGAGCACCAGGGCGGCTCTGTCTCCCAAGGCTGCGCTGCCCTTTGAAGCCATCCCCCAGTGTCCCAGCTCCCAGTGGATGAGGATGCTGCAGATCTGGAGAGAGAAGGGGTATGAGAACATCCACCTGGAGATGCATCGCACCTTCCAGGAGCTGGGGCCCATTTTCAGGTAAAGGCCTTGCTGGCCTCTGGACAGATGCTCCCCGATCATGTGCCCCAGCCCTGGCCAGGCACACAGCACCACCATTGCCCAGGGCAGCCTGTGCTGTGCGTCCTTAGGAAGGCAGGGAGCAGCATGGGGGAGCTGGGCAGTGTCCTCACTGATGGGGACGGGGGCTCTTCAGGAGGACCAAGCACACTATGGTCACAGCTGAGCAGGCAGAAGTCAGAGGCACGAAGGGTGGAGAGGTTTCTGGTGCACAGCAGGAGGGATGTCCTGTGGAAGCCGTGGGTCTATGGGGAGGAAGAGGTCCCACAGGGGGTGACCTGGAGAGGGCCCGGCCAGCCTCTGTGCTTTGCCCTGCAGGCATGACCTGGGGGGACGACAATTCGTGTCTGTGATGCTGCCGGAGGACGTGGAGAGGCTGCAGCAGGTGGAGAGCCGGCACCCCCAGCGTGTGCACCCAGAGCCCTGGGCGGCCTACAGACAGCATCGTGGACAGAAATGTGGCGTGTTCTTGCTGTGAGGGCCGAGTCGGGATGAGGAGGGGGGTGGGAACCAAGGCCAGGACTTGGGGAGAAGGCAGAGCAGAGCTGACAGCAAGTGCACCTGCCTTGTGGTCTGTGTGTGTGGGTGGAGCCAGGCAGATCATCACACACCCAGAGCCATCCCATGGGGGACCCTCTGTCCTGTGGCTGTGGGAGTGGGGTGTGCTGGGGAAATGGTCAGGGCCCCTGCAGGTGAGAGAGGGGAACGATGACCACGTGGCTCCTGGAGCATCCTCTCTGTGTAGCAGGCATTTTCTCTGGCAGGTGGACGGCTCTCCCTCCTATAGGTCAGGAGCACCTGAAGGAAGGGAGTCATTGCCCCGGCCAGGCCGTGCCAGGACCAGTGCCCCCAGAACTGCAGCCCTGCCCCAAGGTGCCCTTGTCTCCTAGACTTAACACAGTCCTCACATCGGTGGGTACGGTCCTGGGCTGAGAGAGATGGGGATGCACAGGTTGATGGGTCTTCTGGCTCAGAACTCACACACTCGGGGGGGGGGGGTCGCACTGCTGCTGTTTCTCACTTTGCAAAGGGCGGCACACCTGCTCAGGTAGGGAGAGAGATGGGGGACAGATGTGCCTCTGAGGTTTGCATTAGGACAGGCGTAGTTGCTGGTAGAGGGACATCTGACTGTGGACAGCGGCCCACAGCACGTCAGAAGGGACTTCTCTTGACTGTGAGATTTAGGGCCATGCCCCTTCCAGTGCCCTTCATTCAGGACATGTGGCAGGGAGTACCGGGATGGGTGTGCTCCAGTGCCTGCATGCACATGTGTGTGTGTGCATGTGTGTCTCACACTTGTGTGGTTCCCTGCACTTGCTTTCAGTATTTGCATCTTGAGAGGGTTTGTTCCTGGTGAAATGTTTACACATGTGTGCCTGTGTGTGTGTGTGCTTGTTTATGTGTTGTGTGTGTCATGTGAGCATGTCTGTGCCTGTGTGCTCATGAGAGTCTTGCACAGGTGATTTGGGTCCTGTGTGGGTGTGTGTGTTCATGTCAATGACGTGTGATCACTGTCACCACAGGTGCTGTGGAAAAGGAAAACAGCTTTCGATGAACTTGGGCTTTCTGAGACTGGGCGTCCCTGCCAGTCCTGTGGACTCCCTGTGCTGTGGGTTGTGTGTTCAGGGTCTGTGGGAGACTTAGAGGATCTTAGCCATGTAGATGGTGGGAATCCTCCTTAGGGACAGGCAGTGAGTGGTGCTGATGCAGAATAGTGTGCTCAGGAAGCGGATGCCATGGAGCGGGGGACGTCAGCTAGGGCCTCTCCACCTGGGCTGATAGGATATGGTCTGCCTTGCCCTGTTTCATGTCTGTTGGGGTAGCCTGTGTTTTCATGCATCTGTTTTAATGCATTTGGATCTCCTGCGGACCGAGTGTGCATGAACCTTGTGACCTCGCCCTGCATTCTGCCCACCACTCTCTTTGTTGGCAGAGCTGCACCCCTCGCGGCATGGGCCCATTGCTGTCCCAAGGCCCCGTGTTCTCCGTGCACCACAAGCCCTGCCTTACCCTCTGCTGTCTGAGGAAAACAGTGAGATTCCTTCTGCATTTCTGTTTGTGCATGTTCTCCTGGCATTTTCGTCTGGCTGTTGTGTGTACTGCCTTTCACGTTCACACCTGCTCAGTGTCAGCAACACAGAAAAAACGCCTCCTAAATAACCTCTTTCCACCCAGTTCAGTTGCTGATCTCAAAACTTTACATGTTCATACACTGTGTGCCCCAAACCACGAAACAATGGTATTTACAGTGTCTTGAATTATGTGGAGTGACTCAGCAGAGAGAAAATGTGATACAATTAGACTAATCACTGATGAAGGGCATTTGTCAGTAGAATCGTGCACATCAGCAAAACTGGAGGTCAACACCATTTCTCAAATAGCAAAGCATGCGGATGGGCCCTGAACTGATCACTGTGGAGGTGTTCACGTCTTCATGCCACTGGGATTTCCTGCCTAGTGCCCTTCACTTCAACCCACAGAGGTTCCACAGACATTTCGTGAATCATCTGGACATTTCTAACTCCCTGCTGCACATTGCAAGGGCAATTCTGCAGGAAACAGGATCCTGTGGGGAGGTTGGCTGTTGTCTGTGTTCAAAGTCGGCACTGTGAATGCTTCATCCTATGTCCTCCTGGCTCCCAGAATTCTCTGATGAGAAATCTCTGCTTATCCTACTTCAGTCTCTCTGCTTGGGACAAGTGGCTTTTGGTGCGGTGCCATCAGAACTCTGCCCTGGTCTTCTTGGTGCACCGTGATTGCCTGTGCCTGCTGTGGCACCAGTGGGTTCATCCACATGGAGATCACTGAGCCTCCTGGGTGCTCACACCTGCGCCTTTCCCCCATTCACGAAGTGACAGCCGTCATTCCTGCATGAACCCTCTCTACACCCGTGCTCCCTGGATTTCACAGACCTCACCCCCCCCCGACAGGGGTGCACCTGAGAGCATCCCATGTCGTGCTCGGCTACATTCTCTTTTCCGGGGTATTTTTCTCGTTCAGAACCCTTAGTCCTGGACATTTCCGTGGTCCTACATGGAATGCTCTCGGATTCTTTCTTCTGCTGGCTCAGAACTGCTATGAGTCTCTCTAGTGCACTTTTTATTTCTGTTTTCCTACTTTTTAGCTCCATGTTTGCCTTTTGTATTCTTCATAGATTTTCCATCTCTTTGCTGGTCCATGTGTTTTCTTGGATCAGCCTTTCCTTCACTGTTTCTGTGTTATCCTGCAGATCTTGCAGGTCTTGTGAATGTTTCTAATGCATGCTTGCAAGCTGCTGCTCAGAGCTGGAAACTGCACTTTCACAGCTGTTCCTGTACTGAGGACTGAAGTGAAAGATATGAACCACAGCTTGAGTCAACATCTTGCCTGGAATTCACGAGATAAATCTGGAAGATTCCATAACAGTCACAGAGATCTGGGTGGGGAGGCAATGGCTGGTGCTTCCTACAGAAACCAGGAAGGCAGCTCTGAGAGACAGGGGCGCCCTAGGACAAGCAGCAGCCTGAGTCTGTGCCTGCAGTCAGCTCCTACCCCAATCCTGCTCCCCGATTCTGCCTGGGCACCAGGAGGGCAGCATGACATGGAGGGGCCGTTGCATGCTGGAGCTGCCTCCCAAGCTCTGCTCTCTGCCCTGCAGGAATGGACCTGAATGGCGAAGCAATCGTTTGAAGCTGAACCCAGTCATACTGTCACCAAAGGCCGTGGAGAAGTTCATCCCCATGGTGGACGTGGTGGCCAGGGAATTCTTACAGGTCCTGCAGGAGAAGGTGCAGCAGAACGCACGTGGGAGCCTCACCATGGACGTCCGGCCCAGAATCTTGAGCTACACCATAGAAGGTTGGTGCGGGGATGGGGGGAGCTCTGGCCGCTGAGCGCCCAGGGAAGCCTCACCACAGCAGTGCCGTGCCCTCTGCAGCCAGCAACTTTGCACTTTTTGGGGAGCGTCTGGGCCTCCTTGGCCAGAAAATAACCCCTGTCAGCCTGAACTTCATGCATGCCCTGGAGGCCATGTTCAGATCCACTGTGGAGCTCATGTTCCTGCCCAGAAGCCTGTCTCGCTGGACCAGCGCCAAGGCGTGGAAGGAGCACTTTGAGGCCTGGGACCACATTTCCCAGTATGGTGAGGCCCGGGGACCCAATTTCTCATCCCCACCACTTCGGGAGGGCGAGGCCAGATCTGGGTGCCTTGGCTGTCTGTAGTCCTGAGAGCTGGAGCTGCGTTTGGCTGATCTGAGACCTTACACAGGAGTGGGGGCCTCAGAATACAGGGGACAGAGTGGGCCTGAGGGGCAGAGGGGGAGACACTTCCTAAGAGGGTCTGGGATGTTTCCCCTTCTCCACAGCCGAACAGCGCATTGAGAACATCTCCCAGGAGCTGGCAGGAGACTGCTCTGGGCACTACGGTGGCATCGTGGCCGAGCTGCTGAGGCATGCGGACTTGTCACCTGAGGCCATCAAGGCCAACTCTCTTGAACTCACAGCAGGCAGCGTGGACACGGTCAGTCAGAAAAAGCCCACCCACAGCTCAAGAAGTCCACCTGAGTCTCAGACAGTGTTCTACAAAGCAAGACCACCCTCCAGCCCCTGTGAAGTCTGCTACTTCTAGAATCTATTTCCTCACCTAAAGGCAGTTCTAGAAGTTCTAGGAGGGGACGTGGAGCCCAATGTGTGAGAGGAACTCAGGGTCCAGAGAGCCCAGGGGAGGCAGGTGGGGAGGGCAGGGGACCAGGGCATGCAGCAGCCCAGGGCCTGGAGGGGGCCAGCGAGGGTGCAGGCTTGAGGGACGCAGAGTCAGAGGAGGCAGAAGGGGGTGGCCCTAAGAGGAGGCCCCTTCACTGTGTCCCAGTCAAGATAGGTGGAAGCCAGACAGGGGGCATGGAGGCCCCCACAGTACACTGAGTGTCCCGGCACAGCCCCAGGGCAGAGCAGGGACGGACACCCAGTGGCAGCAGGGAGGGACCAAAGGAGACCATTTCCGAGTGAGGACACTGCAGGAGCTCTGAGGAGTGAAGGGGCAGGTGGGAGACCCTGAGGCTCACAGAGCTGCCAATGCCCCTCCCCGCCCTGGACAGGCCCAGGTTAACTGAGGGCTGAGGTGGGCACTTCATGCTATCACTGGGAGGCCAGTGCTGAGGGACTGTGGGTGTCCTGGACCCATGACCAGGGGGCCAATGGCACTGGCTCCAGAACTCTCCCTTAGTAATGAGGAGAGGTCTTCCCCTTCTGGGCCCTAGAGAAGGGGTGGACTGGTTGGAGTCAGTCCCTGGCTGGGATGGGGCCGACGTTCCCTAGGGACTCAGCAGCAGGCCCCGTGGTGGGCGCTGGGTGCTGTGTTCTGGCATTGGGGCTGCGCCTGCTCTGGACATCCACACCCACAGGGAGGGGTGCCTAGGAACAGATCGCCGAGCCAAGGGCCGTGCCTGCTGCCAGGGCTGAGTGCTGTCCACGTCCCTTGCAGACTTCTCTCCCCTTGCTGATGACGCTCTTTGAGCTGGCTCGCAACCCCGACTTGCAGCAGGCCCTGCGCCAGGAGACTCGGGCAGCTGCAGCCAGCATCTCTGCCCATCCCCAGAGGGTCATCTCAGACCTGCCCCTGCTGCGGGCTGCCCTCAAGGAGACCTTGAGGTAGGTGCTGGCTGCCCCTCCCGCGTCCCTGCCCTCTGCTCACTCGGGACTTGCACACAGCTGGGCTTGGCAGTGTGAGGGAGGAGAACTGGCACAGCCTCATTCCCCCTGCTGGTGCCCCATCCAAGGCTCTATCCTGTGGGTTTGAATTTGGAGCGGATAGTCAGCTCAGACCTGGTGCTGCAGAACCACCACATCCCAGCTGGGGTGAGTGACTCCGCCCCCTGCAGCCGAGCCCCACCCACATTGCCCTCAGCAGAGAGCTGACCTCCCCTCCACACCTGTCCACAGACACACGTCCAGGTGTTCCTCTACGCGCTGGGTCGCAATCCGGCCGTATTCCCGAGGCCTGAGCGCTATTTCCCCCAGCGCTGGCTTGACAGGGGCCCACATCAGAGCTTCCAGCACCTGGCGTTTGGCTTTGGGGTGCGCCAGTGCCTGGGGCGTCGCCTGGCAGAAGTGGAGATGCTGCTCCTGCTGCACCACGTGAGCTGGCATGGGGGACTGGGGGCAGGAGGGGCAGGGGTGTGGTGTGCAGAGGGTGGGGGAGTCTAGGGAGGCCCCCCATCCTGCAGCTGCAGGCTCAACCAGGCTCTAGGGGGGGTGCAGGCCAAGGCCTGAGCTGCTGAGTGGTTCCCAGGCAGCCATGCCTCTGTCCTAGGTGCTGAAATGCTTCCTGCTGGAGACGCTATCCCCGGAGGATGTGAACATGGTGTACTGCTTTGTCATGAAGCCCACCAACTACCCCCTCCTCACCTTTCGGCCTGTCAACTAGTCAGCCCTCCACCGAGACTCCCTGCCTGCCACCAGATCCCTGTGCTGGGACCCCGGGCCACCTCTCCTGGACCTTGGTGCCTCTGCCCTTGGGCCCCATGGCTGTCCAGACAGCACCCTGCAAAAATCCACTGCCCCCAGGGTCACTGCTTGCCAGCTAGCTAGCAAGGCCAGGGTCATTGCGGGCCGTCCTGGTGGCTGGTGCTGCCCACGCCCAGCCCCTCCCAGCTCCTTTCCTGCAGTGGCATCCTCCGACCTTGGCCTCTCCCCTCCTGGCCTGGCTGCTCTAGGGGCCGCCCAAGGACCCTAAGACCCAGCCCTGGCCTTCCTGTGTGTCTCATTGTCCCCTGCCCCTTCTCCTGCCTTCTCTGCTGAGATTCAATGTAGGGTTTGAGGGTCATGGGAGGGGTCCAGCTCCCCCCTGTACCTGCCGTCCCAGGAAGCTCAACTGCACACTGTGTTTCCGGGATCGAGCCCTCAGTATGGGGTCCTTAGTGCTGGTGAGACGTCTCCATTTTCAGATGAGAAACCCAAGGCTCTAGGGGGCTTGCTGGGGTCAGCCACACATCCTAGACCTCATGTCCTGTGTGTGCCTTCAAGGTCAGCCCTCAGTGCTGTGCCATGGTCAGGTCCTGAGGTCTCTTGACACCCTGGATCTCACGTGCTTGTGATGGGTGGAATTCGTATGTGAAGTGTCTCCACACAAAAAGTTGACTCAACTGGGATGACTGCTTTCCTGGGAGCCCTGCTTGCTCACCCTACTGGTCGTCACGGGAGCACAAGTCAGGGGGAGCTGAGGAGGCACAGGGAGGCGGCAGTGAGCAAATGCAGGGCCCATTCTGGAGGTTCTGGCCCAGTGCAGAACATGGACAGCTGTGCAGGAGGGGACTTTCTCCAGGGAAGGAGCCACAGTGTCCATGTCCCTCTTGTGGCATCAGTCCTGGCGTTTGATCTAGTTTTGAGGTTTCCTTTTCTCAGGCATAGCATCAGCAGATGTGGTCTGTCCATGGTCTCAGTAGCCCTTTGTGCCACTCCAAATTGGCTGTCACTCTGGGTATCCCAGCTGTGTGCCCTGGGCCTACTGGTGCCTGCAGGCCCACCCAGCTCCACTGGCACAAGAGGTCACATGCACATCAACTAAACCTGGGATCATTGTAATCACCCAGTGCAGGTTTTACAGCATCACCCACACTGGACAGAATACACACAGGTGTCTGCATCTTCACAGTATTTGTGATGTTGTTGCCTGGCAAGTGCAGAGGTGGCTTAGAGTAATCCCTGCTGCCACCTGTGAGCGTTTGCAGTGTCCTGCCATGCCACAGTGAAAGTTCACTAATAAAGCTTTACCAGTTCCTGTGTGTGTGCGTGTCCATCCAGGCCACTCTGTCCCTACACAAACTTGTGTGCTACACATGTGGGCGACACTCCTATGTCCCCTACACAACCTTGTGTTCTACGTGTTTTGGAGCCCATGCCTTTCTGACACATATACAACCTTGTGGTACACTTGTACCACATGTGATGCCAGGCCACCCATGTCTCCCACATTGTTCCATGTGTCTGTTGGCCATTTTAATTTCATCTTTTGAAAAGTGCCTGTTCATGTCATTTTCCCATTTCTTAACTGGATTGTTTTGTTGTTCGTGTGTTTCTTCAGCTCTTTGATACTGCACATTAATCCTTTATCATTTTCATAGTTTGCAAATAGTTTCTCCCAAATATTTTCTCTGTCATCTGCCACTTCACTTTGTTTAGTGTGTCCTTTGCGTTGCAGAAGTTTCTTAGCTTGATGTAATCTCATTTTTCTGTGTTTGCTTTGAGTGCCTGTGCTTCTGAGGTCTTTTCCAAGACCTTTTTGCTTATGCCAATGTCGTCCAGAGTTTCTTTGATGCTTTCCTCTAGTAATGTGATGGTATTAGGTCATCGATTTAGATCTTTGATCCATTTTGAGTTGATTTTTGTATAAGGTGTGAGGAAGGGATCTTGTTTCCTACTTCTGCCTGCCAATATCCAGTTTCCCAGTGCCGTTTGTGGAGAGAATGTAATTTCTCCAGGGATTGATTTTAGCTTCTTGGTCAAAGTGCATTTGGTTGTAGGTGTATGACTGATTTCTTGAGTTTCTGCTCTGTTCCGTTGGCCTACGTGTCTATATTTGTGCCAATACCAGGCTATTTTTGATTGTGACTGCCTTGTAATATGTTTTGCAATTTGGTGTTCTGGTGTATTCATCTTTATTTTTATTGTTTAAGATCGCTTCAGCTATTTGGGATCTCTAGTGTTTCTATATGAATTTTAACATCATTTTTTTCTGGATCTGAGAAGAATGTCCTTGGTATTTTGATTGGAATCGCGATGAATCTGTAAATTGCTTTGGGTCATTTGGACATTTGGATGATATTAATATTAATATATTAATATATTAACCCTGTTAACAAAGAAGGTTTTACCATTTTTTTGTCTTCTATTTCTTCTTTAGTGTTTTGCATTTTCATTGCAGAGATCTTTCACATCCTTGGTAAAATTTACTCAAAGGTATTTAAGTTTTTTGGTAGCTATTGTGAATGGTGCTGATCTTACAAGTTCTTTCTCAGCCATTGCATTGTCTGTGTATTCAAAGGCTGTCGATTTTTGTGTGTTGATTTTATATCCTGCTACTTTAGCAAACTCTCTTGTAAGTTCCAATAGCCTCTTAGTGGAGCCTTTTGGTTTCCCCTATATATAGAGTCATGTCATCTGCAACAGGGATAGTTTGACTTTCTCCTTTCTAATTTGCACCCCATTGATGTCTTTTTCTCACCTAATGGCTCTGGCTGAAACTTCCAGAACTGTATTGAATAGCAGTGGTGAAAGTACTCATCCTTGTCTGTACTGGATCTCTGTGAAATGTTCCCAACTTTTCTCCATTCAGTATGATGCTGGCTGTGGGTTTGTTGTATATTGACTTTATTGTGTTGAGGAATATTCCTTCTATACCCAATTCCTTCTAAACCCAATTTGCTTAAGGTTTTTTTTTTTTTTAACATGAGAAGATGTTGTAGTTTATCAATGTTTTCTCTGCATCTATTGAGATGATCATACAGTCTTTATCTTCAGTCTGTTACTGTGATGTGTCACATTGATTGACTTGCATATGCATCCGGGAATAAATCCCACTTGGATGTGTGAATGATTTCTTTTCTGATGTGTTGTTGTATTTGATTAGCTAGATAATCAAATCAATTTGCTGGGTACAGGAGTCCAGGTGACACCCAAGTTGGGTGTGGTCGATCTCCATCGTCAGCTGGAGTGATCACAGCATCAGCCTCTCTCTACCAAGGTGAACCAACCACCCTGGGTGAGCCCACAGTGCCCAGGCACCTCACACACACAGGCGCATGAGCTGCACGAGGATCTGTGTGCTCCTCGGAGTGAGTGCAGAACCCTGAGCCTCTGAATCCAGACTCCGTGATTTTCCAAAGACTCAGCCCCACCCTGTCATCTGCCCTCTTGCACAGTCAGGATTCCCACAGTCACCGGGAGTGTGGGATCCACTCTCAGCCCCATGAGCCATCCCCATCCACGGAAAGAGCCGTGGCATTCCCGGAGCCAGCTTCCTAACCGATCGAGGTTGGCATTCTGCCTTGATAATGTGAGGGGAAGGGAGTGCTTCATGTGCCGAAGTGGGCACCCTGCCCCCACCAACCCTCCAGGCCAGACTCCAAGTCAGCTGGGAGCATGCGTTTATCCCTCTGCTAACGTCTTCCAGTTTTGCCTAGGCTTCCGTAGCCTCTGCTGGCCTTGTTAAGATGGTGTTTCCTACCTGCTTGTTGCCTGGCATCTTGCTCTGAGAAGGTGGTCTCCCCTCCAGCCACCAGCTATGGGAAGGCGCTGATGGTGTCCTGCTCACTGCTGCGTGATTGAACTGTCCCTGCTGTGCCACACCGTCTCTCTTCCTTTTGTAGAATCTCCATGCAAACTTCTCTCCAACTGTCCCCCTGGATGCAGTTCCTTTTCTTCTGTTATGTCCCTGTGGTGAGAACCTTCAGGCCTTTTCCCTCCTCAGCCATCTTGGATCCCCTGCCTTTCCATTTTAATGTGAATTTCAGCATCATCTTGTCCAAGTCTCGGACCTGTCTGGGAATTTGGAAGGCAACACATGGAGCTTAGACAGTTTCCCTAAGGTTGATTTTTTAAAGAAAGATTTATTTATTTATTTGAGAGGTAGAGTTACAGAGGAAGATCTTCCATCTGCTGGTTCACTCCCCAAATGACCACAACAGCCGGAGCTGGCTGATCTGGAGCCAGGAGCCAGGAGCCTCTTCCAGGTCTCCCACGTGGGTGCAGGGGCCCAAGGACTGTGCCGTCTTCCACTGCTTTCCCAGGCCATAGCAGAGAGCTGGATAGAAAAAGAATAGCTGGGACTGGACCCAGTGCCCATGTGGAATGCCGGCACGGGAGGTGGGAGCTTAGCTCACCATGCCACAGCGCCACCCGGGGGATGATGCTTTCATTGCATGCGTCTTCCAGTGCAGGGCCAGTTTGCTTCTGCAGACCACTGTGGCTGCTTTGGTGTCTGTGACTGGCGTTTGTTCTTCTGTGGACGTGGGTCCTGCAGTGTGGACGTGGGTCCTGCAGTGTGGACGTGGATCCTGAAGTGTGGACGTGGGTCCTGCAGTGTGGACGTGGATCCTGCAGTGTGGACGTGGGTCCTGCAGTGTGGATGTGGATCCTGCAGTGTGGACGTGGGTCCTGCAGAGTGGACATGGATCCTGCAGTGTGGACGTGGGTCTTGCAGTGTGGATGTGGGTCCTGCAGTGTGGACGTGGATCCTGCAGTGTGGACGTGGGTCTTGCAGTGTGGATGTGGATCCTGCAGTGTGGACGTGGGTCCTGCAGAGTGGACGTGGGTCCTGCAGTGTGGACGTGGATCCTGCAGTGTGGACGTGGGTCCTGCAGTGTGGACGTGGGTCCTGCAGTGAGGACGTGGGTCTTGCAGTGTGGACGTGGGTCCTGCAGTGTGGACGTGGGTCTTGCAGTGTGGACGTGGGTCCTGCAGTGTGGACGTGGGTCTTGCAGTGTGGACGTGGGTCCTGCAGTGTGGACGTGGGTCCTGCAGAGTGGACGTGGATCCTGCAGTGTGGACGTGGGTCTTGCAGTGTGGACGTGGATCCTGCAGTGTGGACGTGGGTCCTGCAGTGTGGACGTGGGTCTTGCAGTGTGGACATGGATCCTGCAGTGTGGACGTGGGTCCTGCAGTGTGGACGTGGGTCCTGCAGTGTTTCCTGTACAATACATGGAATGGAGTTGCCGGATGATGGGAGATCTCATGCCCAGAACTTAGCTGGGTCTGGGCTCTCGGGAAGGCCCCCCAGCTCACTGCCCTGCCTGTGGGGACGGAGGCCACCTTTGGGCTGTTGTGGCTGCACCTTAGGGTCAGCAGAAACTGGAACTCAGGCTCCTGCAGGGGGAACGGGGACAGCCTGATCCTGGCTGAGGCTGGGCTGCCTCCCAGAGCCCGGGGTCTGGGAATTTCTGCACCATTGCAAGATGCAGGCTGAGTCCTGGGGTTGGGGCCAGAACCGGTGGGACAGGGAGTGTGGATGCAGAGACCCAGGGAGGCAGGGTGTGTGCTGGCCCAGTGTTGCTCACAGAAGTCCCTGAAGGGTGCTGGGTCTGCTGTCAGCTGAGGGTCCCCACTTTCTCCACAGTGGACCCTGGGGAGGCCCCACCCTGCCCTGGCACCGAGACCCCTCCTCTCTTAGCAGAATGGTGACCTGGCCATGGCAGGAGGGCATGCGTGGGGCTCAGCTGCAGCCCAGAGGGCCCTGCCCTGCCCTGCCCTGCCTGTCTGCTCCCTCTGGTCTGGGCCGGGCCCTGGGCTGCAGCTTTGAGGAGGGGCTGGGCCCCAGGAGGCTGTGTCTGAGCCTTTCTCCTGGGAGCAGAGTCCAGGGAACACTTGGTAGACCCGAGGGGTAGGACTGGGTGCCAAGGCCCCACCCACACTCTACTACTGCCCCTGGGGGAGCAGGGCCGAGGCAGGGCCCCACGTGGGCTCCGGGACACAATGCGTGATTCCTGGTCAAGAGCTGCGGGGCCACCTGCTCAGCGCAATGCTGGGGTGGGGGGCTGGTGCTGGGACCTCTGCCCCTCAGCTGTTCCCACAGTCCCCTGTGGACCCCAGAGGCCAGCTCCAGACTGGCCTGATTCTCACCTCCTGGGGTGGGGGTGCTGAGTGGGGAGGTGAACTCCTGGCCCAGGGCCACAGGCGAGAGTGGCCCAAGGACAGAGCAGGGCCGACCCAGAGAATGTCAGGGCCAGGAGGAGGTGGCTGCAGCGGCAGGGTGGGTGGTGGTGGTGGTGGTGTCCTGGGAGCGCTTTCGTTGATGTCCACATGGAGGTGGTGCTCTGAGGCCAGCCTGCAGCTGTGCCCGTGGTAGCTGGGAGACAAGGGGGCTGTGGTGCCCCAGGGCTGCTTGCTGCTCGTGGTCTTGCTCGAGGGCCCTGGGGGCTCGTGCAGAGTGTGCTGCCAGAGTCTGCTCAGACTGGCTGGTGCGGGAGCCAGAGTCAGCAGAGATGCCAGGTCTGTCTGGACACGTGCCCCTCCAACCTCTCTGCTCAGCGGCTGTACATGCGCAGGCCTCCAAGCACACGTGCAGGCCCTCAGCACAGGCGGGAACAGTGCCAAACCCCAGCAGGTGCAGAACCCGGGGCAGCTCTGCAGATCTGCGAGCAGGTCACTGGCCCCTTCTGCTTACCTGGCACGGAAGGCTCTGCTCATGCAGACATGCGGCCTCATGACAGAATGTGAAGGCAGAGAACCTGCTAGGACAGAACCAAGGAGACACAGAGCAGACGACAGGGACGTCTGGGGAGAATGCTGGACAAGTCATCACTTATCTCCAATCACCTTGCACGTCCATTGACTAAATTTTCCAACTAAAAGATACAGACTGGCTGAATGGATAAAAAACGAAAGACCCATGTATATGCTGCCCACAAGAAATACACCCCACCAAGGCATATTCACAAAGACAGAAAGAAGAGGATGGAAAAAGAAATTCTGTGCTTTGGAAATCAAACTGAGCTGCTATAGCTAGAATCATATCAGACAAAACAGAGTTTAAGACAAAACTTGAAAGAGACCAAGAAGCTCGTTATTTTATGATTAGTGAATGACTTCAACAGGAGATGTGACTATAATAAATGTAATCGCAGTGAGTCCTAGGCACCCAATCCTATGAAACAAATCTTAATGAAGCTGAAAGG